CCCCCCCCCCCCCCCCCCCCCCCGCAAAGAGTGTACGGGCGTACGCTACGTCATAACCAAATTTTCTCGGATGGATGGTTTACCAAATTTTATTACCCATGGTGCTCCGCTGGCGCGCTTCGCGCGCCGGAGCTCCGCTAATATTTACAGGGCTGCAAATAACGGACAGCAGGTTGCCGGTCATGATGACCGGCCCAATATTTTTTAGCCCGGACAAACCCCGGTTCTGGCCGGTCAAATAATGAATACTAATAATTTTTTTTTTTTTGCCTAAGGAATATCCAATTATGCTGGCAATAGATCGTTATTACTACATTGACGTTCACATTTTTGACAGCAAATTGGTGAAAAATGCATTCGCACGTTGTAGAGTTCCTTTCCGCGGTTTTCGCGCGTTTTAATGTTACGTTCTACCTTGAGCATCACTGCACGGCGGTGTCTGAAGTCTCTAGAGGTAAAAAGTGAAGCGTAAATCCTTTTCAAACTCCCAAGGTTCAGGAAACGGAATACACATACAGTTCAGCAAACTTTAGAAATTACGAAAAAAAAACAAAAAAAATTGGGTTATTTTACAAAATCTGCACACGCTTGTTTTACGTTGATGTTCCGAAATGAACATCGGTGAAACTTGATCTTTTTCCTTGCCTGGCACATGATCGAAAGTCACTTCAATTCCTCAAAGAAGAATCGTCGCTGATATTTTCGGCAAAGAAGTTGATTTGCATTGGCGAGAAGTTTGTTCCACTAACAGCGTATTGATGATCAGAAGTCAATAAATAAATTTGGGTCATCGCGCAACATTTTATCGCGAAGGGCTCAAATGTCAACAGAAATTTCCATAAAGTTGTTTACAAGAACGAGAATCTAGCGCCGCGATAGACGACGACCTTCCCTCTTGAGTAGCTTAAATTTTTATCAGACCATTCTGGAATCGAGTCTGCAAACGAGATTCATGTTCGACATTAAAGAAATTATTATTAATCGATGCGCTTACATTTATTCCCGGAGAAACACAGGACGACCTGTTGAGAACTGCGATCGATTTGCCTGAATTCCTTCGAATTCCCAAAGGTCACATTGCTGATTACAGCAAAGCCGAAGGTACAGTACGACTTGTAACGTTACGTTACTTTCCAACTCAGTCTGTTATTCACTTTGTTGCGTTAGATTACGACATGACGACATGAAATTAATTTATTGCGGCGTTCTTTTTCTGAGAAGGGTTTAGTGCAAAGCAGCAAAAAATGCCAAGGAAAAAAGAAATCATTGCAGCGTTATAGAGCATTAAGCGACAACTGTATGGAAAATAAAGTGTTTGTATCCAAAAATGACCGGTCAAAATGACCGGCAAGACCGGAGTTTGACCGGTCAAGTCCGCGATCAGGCCGGACATTGTCCGTTGACCGGCCGTTATTTGCAGCCCTGATTTAGACAAAATACTTTGCTTGTTATTCTACTGTAAACATGCTTATCGTAGTAAACAACAGCTGGTAAGTCATTGATTGCCTGAAAACAGAAGTTTAGGAATGTTCGTATTTTTACGTCAGGATTTTTTCAGTTGCAGACGTCCAGTAGAATAATGCAGTTTGTACAATAAACCGAATTTCCCTGTCAAGTTTTCTTTATTTTTTAAGTAATATGTATCAAGAATGAGACGCAGTGATTCATCACCAGATGAAACACAAAGAAGGGAGTTGAAAATACGACGCGCCGCGGAGTATTTTTGAGGAACTTCGAGGTGTTTCATTTGGTGATGAAACGCTGTGTCCAGTGCTTGACGTTACTTCTCAAACGAAAGGAGTTTAGAAGGAAAAATTAAGGATGCAAAAATTAGCAGTTTCCATCTGATTTCCAAACACTCATTAAACATTAATTTTCCTTCTATTTTCTTTATGAATTATTAAAGAGTTTGAGAAGAGATATTCAATGGAGCGCCGAGTTTGGATGCCCCTTGTATTCGCAGTTCCCCCCTGGATACTTAACAATTATTCTTCGAGGCTATATGGGCTCTGAGTCAATAGCCCATCAATAGCCCATGAGGCCGAAGGCCTCATGGGCTATTGACTCAGAGGCCATGAGGGCGAGAGGAATAATTGTTTTAGTAAAATCCAACTACTGTAGTTGGTCAAAAATATCGAGACAAAACAACTTTAGCTAGCAAAACGCAATTCAGCCGCCATTGTTTTGGTTTTCAAAGCTGGCGCTTTCCTCTACTAGTGGCATATAACATATAGCCTAGCAGTAGCTCAACCAATCAGAACGCAGCATTGATAATAGCGCGCTGGTTGGATTTTACTAATAGAACATAGAACGTCTTTTAATGACTTCAATGAACTCGTTTAACCCTTTGCGTATATTTTTCTATCTACCAGGAACTGTTTCACGCAACAAAAATGAACTACACGTTAGAGAACCAACTGGCAGAAATGTTAAAAGAGTTTCAATCAAGGAGCCAAGCCAAAGCTGCTTTGGTATTAGGTTTATACGTGCTTATTTTGTTGCTTTTGTTTCTTGGGAACAGTCTTACACTCCTTGTTATGTTGTTAAATCGACGGATGAGGACAATTCCAAACATGTTCGTTGCATCACTCGCTGTTTCTGACCTATTATTAGGCCTTTGCAGTTTTGTACCTTTTGGCATTCCAGTATTAGTGACTTCCCATTGGCTGTTTAACGATACAGCTTGCCAATTTCAAGGTTACATTACTATCGCGTTGGTTGTCGCTTCTTTTTATACATTGGTCTTAATGGCAGTGAACAGATATTATAGAATCGTCAAACCAGCAAAGTACCAACGCTACTTCACAAAGAAGAAAACCCTCATCATGATTCTTGTGTCATGGTTCTCTTCTTTTTGTGCTCCATTGCCTCACGTGCTAAGCGGAATAAAAATAGTCTTTCATCCTGCCAAGTTCTTCTGTTACTTTGTCATAGAAGAAAGGGCATTCCTACATTATGGTAGTCCTCTTTACATAGGTGTCCCAACCTGTGTTATTATTTACTGCTACTTAAGAATCTTCTCAACAGTTCGCAATCACAACAGAAATCTTCATCCTCCCAACAATCTGATAAGCTCGGTCAACGTAGAAGACGTTAAAGTGGCTCGCACCATATTTTTAGTAGTAGTATTTTTTAATCTTTGTTGGATTCCAATCTTAACAGTTAACGTTTTGGACGATGTATTCCAAAGATGGATCTTCCCTACTGAGGTCTACATTTTAAATTCGTTTTTGGGCACTTTAAGCAGCGCGGTGAATCCTTTACTTTACGGCGTGATGAACAAGAGTTTTCGTACGAATTATTTGAAGCTGTTACGCTGCACGTACTGCCGATCTCAAGTTGTTGTAGAACCAATGGCTCGGTAAGGACAAGCGAATACGATGACTTTCGCTTAAAAATATACAGTTGGAAGTGAATTACTTAATAATTTAGGTTGCGTCTGACATTTGAAAGTTGAAAAAACGTATTTTCTCTCTTGACGGCATTGGCTTTCAAATCACCACCGGGTCGAGTATATGACCCCACGCTCACAGGCAATCAATAGTTGACTCACGGTACATCTGGGAACAAATCAGGTAATTAGGGATCGACGATAACAGGACTTGAACACGAGATGTCAGAATTTATGTCCAGCACTCTTACCTCTTAACCTTTTGACGTTGGCCTTTCATTACCCATAAGATACTGTTAAACGAGCTATACGATCATAAGTTTAATCATACCAAAAAGGACTAACTACGCACTTCTGCATCAGGGAGTGGTTCGAGTGTGCCTAATAATGAAGCCTATTCTGCATGAATTGGGTACTAGATCTTTGTTCAACAAACGTAGGCTTACTAGCCGTGCTCGTGGTACAGCTTGCTCAGTTATGACCATTGGTTGAATGAATGGAAGCTCACACTCGGAAAACCAGTTCCAGAAATTCGGGCGTCAGCGACTTCAAAGGCTTGACACGATTTAGGCAGACCCTCCTCTTGTCCTCTCACTAAAAGAAGACAAAAGGCTCGTCTGCCCACAGGTTGACCAGAGGATTAGTAATAAGCCATCATACCCCAAATGCGGATTTTGCCACCAGCATGCTTGCATCTTCGATCCACACAATGTCCTTGATGGCGGTGAACGCGTTCCAAAACGAGTAATTACCGCTGCTATGTTATTACCAAGAAGAAAACTGTTCCGATGATTCTTGCATTGTGTCGTGGCCTTATTCATGCCAGTCATTGCCATATTTTCTGGCTGGATAGAGAATGGTTCCGTCATCATCCAATCAAAAACAGTGCTGGCATTCATGACCTATATGGTCAACCATGCTATCTTGTGTTTCCAAACTGCACCATCTTCTATAAGTAAGTAAGTAAGTAAGTAAGTAAGTAAGGCTGTGTTTTCACTAGGGCGATTAACTAGCTGAACATTCTTTCTAAGATTTGTTTACAAACCGACTTTTATTAGTTAAACGTGACAACTGTTTTCACTGTGAAATTTAACCGGCAATCTAAGCCACTAACTCTCAGAGGATTCAAATTGCAAAAGCGCGCCATAACAAAAAATGAAAGGGGACGAAGTGCTTGAATGTAATGACTTCTCTTGTGATTATTTTCGCTGTATTTTTGCGAAGGAGAGGGAGTTTTTTTCAGCAAATGAGGCTTATGTCCTTACAAATTAGGAAGATGCGACGAAATCTTTTAATTCTCTCAATCCAACAACGAAACAACATTCAGTGCCATAACTGGGATAAGCGCAAGACTATGTGGGTTTATCCAAGACCACAATTCTGGTTTAAGGACCTGGCCGAAGAAATAGAGAATCTAGTGGGGTCGGTGGAATTGTAAATCGAAAGAAATGACCGTTAGAATTGTCTGCCATGTTGAATTTCTCAAGTTCAACCAAGAGGCAATAGTCTGGAAAATAATATTACCAGATTATTTGGCAGGCGTCTGTCACTACGCGCGGCCCGATTGGTTATTGCGTTTATCAGGACAAGTTATACCATCTCGCGAGGTAGTATAACTCTGCGTGAATTTCCGCTAGTAAAGGCGAGAGAATCCCGTGTTTTTGCTTGTGAAAACAGCTCGCCTTTTTAACTAGCTAAAACCAAGACGAGGTGTTTTCACAGTATTTCCGGACTTTTCCGGCTTTATCTAGTTAAAATTGTTCTAGTGAAAACACAGCCTAAGTAAGTAATTTTATTTAACCACATATCGCATATGAGAGATAGCTCGTTTAAATGCAAATGTGCCATAAAAATTACAACGTGATAATTTACATAATGTACATGTACAAGTGATAAATAGAAATAAGAAATAGAGAAATTAAATCAACTAAAAAATAATAATAATTTAAAAAGAGAAATTATTGGTAATCAGATTGTCTATTTACAAAATACACAGTTGCAGTCATACGATGAAGACAACTGTATGTTTTGTAAGTTTTTCCTAAAAATAGAGAGGGACTCCGACTTCCTTATTTTGTCTCGTAGATTGTTCCATTGTTTGCCAGCCTGGTACGTGAAAGAATGTTGCATATAAGATGAGGTCGGCCTTGAAAGAACAACCTTAAGATGGCCCCGTAGGCTGTAACCATTGCTTCGCAGTAAAAACATTTCCCGAATGTAGTTCGGTGCCTGGTTATAAATGCTATTGTATACGAGTATCAGTGATTGTTCTATGCGTCGATGTTCCAAGCTTTTGATATGTACAGTTTTAAGTAGCTCTTCATAAGTAGTCGATTTAGAGTAGTTAAGAAGAGTCCTAAAAGCAAATGGGTTGGTTGACTCTAGTTTTGTAGACAAACCTTTACTTAGACCTGTGAACAATGGTGATGCGTATTCAAAGTGAGGCAGAATAAATGCTTTGTACAGTTTAATCATAATATCTGAGGGTATAATTTTACGAATGCGACGAAGAATTGAAACTTTTGTGTTCACTTTCCGGCAAATTTCTTTAATATGTGCTTTAAAAGAGAGTGAATTGTCGATAATTACACCAAGGAGCTTGATCTGTGGAACGTAATCCAGTTCATTGCTGTCAATAACAAAGGGCGTTGGTAGAGTTGCTCTACTGAAGACGGTGGATTGAGATTTACTATGGTTAATCGCCAGGAAGTTCTTACAAAACCAGGAAACGAGTAGATCAAGGTTGTTTTGTAGATTTATTTGCAAGGTGGATGGACAAGGGCTTGAAGAGTACCCCGTAGTGTCATCGGCATAGAATCTTAAGGAGCACGAAATATCTGAAAAATTCGCATCATTCATGTATATATGTATTGAAGAGAAGGGGGCCCAAGATCGAACCTTGAGGAACTCCACACTTCATAATTTGTCAATGTAACAGGTTACCGTCTATCTTGACATGTTGCTTTCGGTCAGTCAAGTAAGAACGTAGAAGTTGTAGGGCGTCTTCAGTTACACCGTACGCTGACAGCTTTGTAAGAAGCAAATTATGGTTAATAGAGTCAAATGCTGTGGAGAGGTCTATGGTAATTGCTGCAGAGTGCCCGCTAGAGTCTAAATTTGCTCTAATATCTTCGCATGTTTTGAGGAGGGCTGTTGTACATGAATGTCCTTTCAGAAAACCAGATAAATTCCCGCTGAGGAAGTGAAGGGAAAACTCGTATAGCTGATCAAAGATTACTCTTTCTGCTATCTTTGAAACAGCCGATAACACAGATACAGGACGGTAATTAGATTTTAGAGTCTCGCTATCTTTTTTATAGATCGGAGAAATAATGGAAGTTTTCCAATTTGTAGGCCAGGAACTACCAGTGATGCATCGATTAATACATTTTGTGAGAGAACTGAGGATTGCAGGTTCAGCAAGCTTCAATAGGCGTGGAGAGACTCCGTCAGCACCGGTGGCATTATTAATTTTGATACTGGAAAGTATCCTCTTGATGTAGGAATCCCGAACAGGAGTAAATGAGAAGCTCATTTGTCCCTTAAATTTTTGTTCAATGGCTATAACACTGGAATAGGTCTTAAACTCTTCTGGCTGTAAGTTAGACATGTAGGTAGGCCTGGGTACTGCATGAATGAAATAATCGTTTAGAAGATTGGCGACATCAATACTGTCAGTAATGAGGCGCCCATCTTCAATCAGTTGAATATGGCTGTTACCTCTGTCCTTGCTTGGACGCAAACAATGAAATTTCTTCCAAAATTCCCCAGGGTTTTCGGAGTTTGTGGATACATTAATGCGGTATGACTTGAGGGAAGAGCGTTTTAAAGAAGTGACAAAGTTCCGTTGTTTCCTATAGGCCTCCCAATTTTCAGACGTTTTGTTCTTAGTAAACTTTCTGTGTAGACGATTTCTAGTGTTTACAGCCTGAATAATTTTTGGTGTCATCCATGACACAGTGTCACCGCGTACCAGTTTCCTCTTAAGCGGTGCGTGACGATCAATTACTTCAGTGAATAATTTATACCAGTGCGCCCAGATCTCGTCGATATCATCGTAAATAAACGCAGAGTCCCAGGGGACACTGTTTAGGTCCTGAAGAAAAATATTAGCGTCAAACCGTTTCATTGAGTGATAACCGATGAGCTTTGGTGGAGGTTTTGGTAGCTTCCACTTGCGAATTGTAACAACCATATCGTATTTCTTTCATACCGTATCGAATTTCTATCTTAGAACCTAAAAAACCGTTCGTAGTCTTAAAAACAATTTTTTAGCGTGGATCTACCCTCCGGAGGTTTCCATATATGGTATATACGTTTTTGATCACTTTAGGCAACGCTTTGAATCCTCTGATACGACCTGATAAAAGGAGAGTTTTCGTGAGAATATTTGAAGGTGCAACGCTGCACGTAGTGAACACTAGGTAAAAATTAGCAAATAACTAATGCAAGCTACCTGTAAGAAAGAACAAGTAATCAACTCTTGATGTCTTACAAAATAGAGAGAGGGTTTCAGAGTTATGGATATTTTTCGAAATAATTCTCATTTGACGACAACGTCTCAATTTTGAAGCCGGTTGTAGTTTAACGTTTTGCGCTCGACACTTTGCTTGAGGTTAAAGTCGCAAAAGAGAAATCTCTAGATAGCCTAGCTAAAACGCAAAGGCATGCTTGACGAGCTAATTTTGTTTTGAACAGAACAGCTGCACAAACCAGAACTGATTGGACAGACTGGATGATAACCTTCCGAGCCTGCAGCTGGCGCATAGAAAGATGATTAGGCATGATGATGCATTTATTACGGTGCGGGTCTGTCAAATATGTCAAGCTGCGGTTGACGATATCAGCTCAATCAGTTTTAAATTCCGGCTTAGTTTTGCCCTACTTAACCGGTGCTTCTTTAATGGTAGAGTGGACTCTGTCATTAACAAGCTGTTGTTTAGAAAAACCTGAAAGGACAGAGATAAAGCAGGTAACTGAAATTTTCTTTTTTCATGTTTACTTTGTACATAATACTGGTGCAAATATTATACCATGCACAAAACACAACATGCACATTGGGCCTCAACATACACAGCAGAATTTTACTCCACCCATTTTCATACTATCATTTGTGATGGTACTTTCATTAATCATTCCTTTAAAAGTTTAATTGTGAAAATCGGAATCTACGTGTATGATGTACTGAGATGATGAGTTAAGATTGTGAAGGATTGTGCACTTATGAATTAGTACCTTCAGAACCTTTTTCTGCATTTGTAAACGTTCTTTGCGTAATACAGAAACCGCTTTGTTGTTTCCCTTTTAACTTGAATAATAACATTTTCCAAAGAATTTAGAATTTAATTCAGGAACTTCAAACTGTCGTGGTTGGAAATTTAACCTTCTTCACTGTTTACATTGTTTGACTGTCCCATTTTAGTACAGGTGTTACAATGAAAATAAATAAGAAAGAAAGAAAATTAGAGAAAGAAAAACTTGAAGTGTTTTAGTTAGAGTTTGACGAAGTTAAACGAGAACCATTCTTTAACGTTCTTTTCTCATTTTCTTGCACGCCTTCATGGTTTTGCATAACACGTAAAAACTTAAGGTTTAAAATATGATTCAGAATAAGTTCTCTTTTGCCAAACAGTTAATTCAATGTAGCTCTGGCCTTGAGGAAGGCTAATTTTGTTAGCCGAAATATTGGCCTCAAATAAATCAGCCCTTTGCCCTATTGCCAGCCTTACATTCGGTTTTGTTTGACAGTCCCAATTCAAGTGACGTCAGGCATTAGAATCTCTTCATTAGACATCCGGCGAGAAAGAACCAGTCGGTTCTATTTAAGCGTTGAGTGGACCTCTGCATTCAAAGGTTTTAATTCAATGTTTTCTTAATAATTTATAATTTACAAAGGCAAATTTGCCGCGCTGTTTTTCTTGAATCAAAGTATGAGTTTTAGAGTCAAGCAATCTTAAGTTTTTAGTTTATAAAATCTCTTAATAAACTGGCATTGTTATTTTGGTTCCTGACTAGTGGCAAGGGGAAACTGATTGTTTCTTTAGCCAAACGGTAAACAAAATTCTGGTGTATGAATTGAAAATAAGCCGATTTCTTCCAAAAGAAAATTGACTTCTGCGAGTAAAAGAGTTTGTTAAACTTAATAGCGGCCTGCGCAGTTTTTTGCTCTTTGCATTAATAGTTAGGGAATATCAGCCACCAGAAAATGCAAATTAAAATTTTGGGTTGGCAAAGGCTTAATCAAAGTACATAAATTCGTAAAAATTTTGAATTCATCCAGACCCTATCCAGACTCTAAGGTAAGGGAGGAGCCTTCATCGAAATTGATTTCGGCTTCAGTTTGGCGTAACAACATGGTGGGGCCCCCGGTCTCCGTCCCCTTGATCCGCCACTGTGTAGTATAAGACATGTAACACCATGTAATGCCCTTTGCATATGTTCTATTTATAGCTGGACCAGAAGGAGCAAAAAAGATGATTTCCACACGGGATCAACTGGCAGATATGTTAAGAGACTTAAAATCAAGAAGCAGAGCAAAACTTATTCTGGAATTGGGTTTTTTTATGGCTTATTTTGTTGTTTTTATTCGTTGGAAACTTCATAACACTCTTTGTTATGTTGTTAAACCGACGGATGCGAACAATTCCAAACATGTTCGTGGCATCACTCGCTATTTCAGATTTACTCATAGGAGTTCTATGCGCGGTTCCTTCATCCCTTCCTGTATTGGTGACTTCCAGTGACCCCTTTAACGATACCTTTTGCCAGTTCCAAGGGTATATAGCTATAACATTGGCAGTGGCTTCAATTTACACATTGGTCCTGATGGCAGGGAACCGGTACTATAGAATCGTCAAACCGACAAAATATCGTCGCTATTTCACAAAGAAGAAAACCAAGATAATGATTCTTGTGTCCTGGTTGTTGTCACTAAGTGCTCCATTGCCATATTTCTTGAGTGGGCACAAAATGGTTTTCCATCCTTTTAAGCTCTTTTGCGTTCCTAAAATCATTGCCGTTCTGGGAATTTCGGGCACAATGTGTTTGGGGATTTCATGTGCCATCATTCTCTACTGCTACTTTAGAATCTTCAAGACAGTTCGCCAACACAATAACAACTTTCGTCTCCCTGGCAACCCAGTAAACACGATAAACGTGGAGGAAGTAAAGATTGCGCGCACGCTATTTATAACAGTGGTGTTTTTCAATCTATGTTGGGCTCCAGTTATGGTTATTGATCTAGTGGACACCATCCATGAAAAATGGATCTTCCCTCGCGAGGCCTACCTAGCATATAGTTTTTTGCCGTTTTCAGCAGTGCTTTGAATCCTCTGATATATGGTGTGCTTAACAAAAGTTTTCGCAAGGATTATCTTAAGGTGCTGTGCTGCAGGTATTGCCGTTCTCAAGGTGCAGTAGAACCGTTAGCTTTGCAAGGAATAGTTAGTGTTGTGGGCACGGAGCCACTGCGAAACAATATCCAGGTTACATCGGATTACTCAATAATTTAGGCTGCGCTATGTTCAATAATTCTTATCAGAAAGTGAAAGTTGACGTTACGAGAGGCAGGGTGACCAAGTGACCAGCGCGTCGGTCTCGCAATCCGGCGGTCCCGGGTTTGATCGAGCCCCGCTCTTATCACTTGCTACAATTGTTCTCGGTCCTCCACAGTTCAGATCCTTGGCCAAGCTCATAAAGCCAATTGGAATTGCCTCCTGCCATTAGGGGTTTTTATTGCTGTTATGTTCTATTTGGATTATTTGTTTCTGATTATTTGAGTGGAGTGCCTACTATGACATTTATCTCTTTCACCTAATGGGTGCTTTGTTTTTTTAATCTGAGTTGGATGCAAGTTTTAACAATTGACGTTGTGGACAACATTTTCCAAGGATGGATCTTCCATTCTGATGTTTACATTTCATACACGCTTTTTTTCACTATCAGCGGTACTTTCAGAATCTTTTAGTTTACCGCGTGCTGAACAAGAGTTTTCGCACGAATTGTTTGAAGTTGCTGCACTGCACGTGCTGCTGATCTCAAACTGTTTTGCTACCGTTGTCCATGCGTGAAAGGGCGGCTGTTATGGGCATGGAACCGCGGCCATTGCATGCTGTACAGTCAAATGCGAATTAAAGTTGCTACTGGTCACTGCAGTCTCGAACATGTAGTTACATGAGTCATATTTTAATTTACGAAAAACTGACATAGTAAACCTCTACAAATTGTTGGCTGAACAGTATTGTTGTGAAAACTTTAACGGGGACTCGCTGATCACTTTAACAAAATAACCGGTCTTTAGCTGATTATCAAGGTTTTAAGAAAAACAGTGAGATCATTCTATTTGTGATTAAAAACCTTACCCTGTTCAGATGATCGCGGCGTCGGGTTGACCCGTTGGCTTTGACGCCTTCTTCCTTACACATCAATGGATGGGAAAGCGAAATTACCCGTGGCGGTGTACGAAAAGAAAAGAGGAACGTAGGCCCCGATGATGACTTTTTCCTCAACCGAATGTGTTTTAGTCATTTTCAATAACTTAAAATAAATCCCAAACAGCAAACACAATTCTCTTGACACTTCTTAAAAAAGCACTGGGAATAGTTGTTAGCGGTAGCGGTTTTTATCCTTCAACAGAATTAAAAAATGACGCGTACGCGTTTTTCTCAAACCTTAACCGTATGCTAAACGTATGAAGCGTAAATATGGCAAAAATTAAATCTTTTCTTTTCCGTGTGAACATTTTATGGCCGTATAATTTCTTCTTCTAAATGGCTAACTTTGAAGCATAAAATGCTTGAATTTTGGCTCCGAAATATTCAAGCAAACATTTTAGGAAACGCGTTCAGATTCGAGACAGTTTTTTGTGTAGCTTTGGTCTAATTTTAGTTGAGGGTACTGGCACATGACGCTGGAATTGGCATACAGGTGACTGTTTACTTCTATTGCGTGACCATTTTAAAGGCTCACTTTCCTCGCACTAAGAGCTGGCCAGGAGGGGTACCCAGATTTCAAGTGTCGGGGATAATCGAAGGATTTTTTTTTTTTGCACGGGTTTACACGGGATTTTGGGGGTAGGAAGATTTGGCAAATATTTTTTAGGGTGGCTTAATTTAAGTAAGGATCTTTTGAGGTATTTAAAACAATCTAAAGATTCGTGGTCGTGACTGAGTATCCCTGCGAGAAAATTCGGCGTGGGATTTTTAGGGGATTAGTTTCTGGTTTTTGGTTTTGGAGGGTTTTGTTGGAAGGATTAGGGGTTTTGATTTTTGCCCCCATTTGATCATCCCCGTCACTTGCAATCCGCAGTACTCCCGCCCCCCTCCCTCCCCCCACCCCTGGGCCAACAACGCGCTGCAGCACACACCTAGGCCGGCAACGAGCCACTTCCACGAAGAGTATTGACCGGTCAGAAGAAAACTAGACTGTTACGAGCCGTAACCTAGACCAGCAACGCGTTGCAACGGCAGCACTACGAGCTGAAGACTAATACCAGCAACGCAAACTGAACGACCTCTTGTGCCTAGCTCATCTCACCAGCGCTGTTGGGTCGGACCGGACTATCTGTAGGTCGACCATAGATTTATAGCTAGTCAGTGTCTGAGGTGTAAGCCATTATGAGAAAGATTGTACAATACTTATAATTACTAGATATATATCAACGCCAAGGAGACATGCATGCAGAATTCACGGATTTAACCATTCAGAAAAGGCGAACTAGTTTGTTTCTAGATAGCGATGACAATAGCGCTTTACACTAATAAGGACACACATTTCTGGCCCCTTCTGTGACTCAGACATTGAACCTGGCCAGTGTAAGGGTGCGTTCCTTTGGGATGATCCGGATCAGGATCATTGATCCGAGATCACTCGGATCATGGTAGATCAAATGAACCGATGAATCCTTGTCCAGAGTGGATTCATCGGATCATTTGATCTACCACGATCCGAGTGATCTCGGATCACTGATCCTGATCCGGATCATCCCAAAGGAACGCACCCTAAGAGTTTTGTATGGGAAAGCCACGTTCGCCGACAAATTTTCGTCTTCTTTGAAGATTTTTATAGTCAAAAGAAACAAAATTCAGCTTGGTTTCGATAACACATATCATGAAAATAATCAACACGTGCCAAGAAAATGTTAAACCTGGAAAAAACTGTACAGATGAGTGATTTTATTTCCTATGCGGTGTCATTACTGTGGTTAACGTTAAGTTACGGAATTTTACTAAGAAATGTGCGAAGAGCAGGCTGTTCATAAAACGGTGCAATAGTTTAAATTTATAGACAAAGGTTGCTCAATTTTTTTTTCGAGTGCTTATGTTACGCCACTTAGTACTATAGGATATAAAACTACTCTCTATGGTACCTACCTGGCCGCACAACAACAGAACAAACTCTGATACAATTTCAGTTTGAGCTAATGTTGATGTGCTTTTCAGCTTAAAGGCTTGCAAGAAGCACAAAAAACTCGATTTTCTCTTTAGCAATTTCGGTTTTGGAGTATTACATAGCCAGAAATAATGTCATGTCATGTTTCAGTGCACAGAGTGCCATCTCACTATAAGATAGAGCTTGGGATCCGATTCCATCAGCCTTATTTGATCAAGTCGCTTTATTTTCTGACTTCAACCAGTTATTTCAGTTACTTGGACCAGGTTTTGCCCCCTATAGCAGTATTACCTTCTATATATTAGAATAAAGCTCAAAATACCTTTTTAAAACGCTCACTGCGAATTTTATAGCCAATTTTCATGTCGGAAACGCATGTTGCTCATACAAAGCCTTTGAGTAGAATGTAAAGTTTGTCTCAGTCAGGCGGGGGTCTAAGGTAAACCTAATTTTAATAATAGTGCAAAGCGCTATTGCTACAATGTAACTATATTGAAATAGGCCATTTGCACAATGGCGTCATTTTCAGACTACTACGACCACAATTCTTTTCGCTTTTCTTTTCATATTTAAATTTGGCGGCCCCGGTGAGGTTTAAATAACAAAAGTCCTAATTTGCGCATCAGAGAAAAACCCTGGGTGATCCTGGTGGTCATAGTAATAAAATGTCGCCATCATGCAAATGGCCTATTGCTACAATGTAACTATTGATAAACGGTTCTAAAATACATCACGTAGCGCTGGCCCACGGGGCCAATAGTTGCTATTTTGAGCGGTCTAGAAACCCTAATGAACGTGATATCATTCCTTTCTTGTCGCTGATGAAATATTCCACTTTTGAAATTTTTTTTATGGTTTATTGAGCGCAAGAAATTATTTAATTACTTCCTTTATTTGTTTATATTTTTCTGCCCGTGGCAGAATCCATTTACTTGTCACGAAAACACCTGCCCTTGTTTAGACATAAGACATAAAAACTGAGCTCGTGGATAGAATATAAATAAGGGCAGCTGGCATTAGCCTATCCCTGAGTTCAGTTTTATGATCAGAAGATTTCCTTTCAATCTAGAAGGGTTCCTGGTGCTTCTTTGAAGTCTAATTAAAGAACCACAGGTAACTAAACTACAACTTTCTTCCTCCTTTTTGTATGATATATCCAGATATCAAATGTGGTTATTTTTAGCTTTAATGCAGTATTAAGACGGAATATTATTTTTCCTAGTGATTCTAATCAAACGACGATTGTTATAGTAATACAAGTAGATCACTTATTGCCTAAAATAAGACATGCATAAAATAGCCTTTTTCTATATTTGTTCGAGACCCGATATTTTTTTTCAGTGGCAGAAAAAAACAGTAAAGCACTGTTTGTAGTTTATGTAATAAACCGGGTTTTCTTGCCACGTTTTCGTTTCAAGTGGAACTCAGTAGTGCCTCAAATTTGGATGTACCCTGTCAGTCCGTTCTTCCAAACTGCTCATCAAACTGTTCGCAGTCCCCTATTTTTCCGTAAGACCATCTACGTAGATCGAGCACTATGCGTTATTTGGCGGCCATATGAATTTAAATGTACCGAAGGGAAGGGGGCCGGGTGGGGGAGGGAGCGTCGGGGTTTATAACCATTCCCCGCCACCTTAGTACATTTGATACTCATCCCAGGCTAGAATCGGTACCTTATTACAAGAAAGTTTGGCGACATTCATGTTCATTGAGCGATTTTGAAAAATCCCTCAGTTTAACGGCACTTTAATTTTGCGATTTTTCGTAAATTTTGGAACAACAATAGAGCACTGATTTATGTGATTAAATCATAAACGTCAATAGTTTAATTTAAATCAAAATCATATAACGTTCTGAGACTTTGTTTTGAACGAAACAAATGAAAGTGCAATTGCAATGTCATATCTTAATGCTGTCCTCACTCATTTTAAAGGTGCATTGTCACACAAAGTCAATGATACATGCTACAGTCGACCGTGGCTGTGTGAAACTGCCAAGATGGCGTAATTTCATATTGTACTCACTTTAAGTTAGCGACGATTTAATTTTAGTGACACTTACAGTCAGGGCAGGTCAAGCGTACCCCCAAGATTGTAGTAATGAATTTATTATTCGAAGGTTAAATCCTTTGAAAGTTGTAGATTTCAGTTTCATCTCTACACTCCTCAATACGTAATGAGCAGTGAATTATATTCACACTCGAGACATTTCTGCACGGTTTTCTTGAATTTCATGTAAACGTCTTTAAAAAAATTTTCTATTCAATCAAAAATTTTTTCAATCTGACCGAATTCAGAGGAGTCATGCAGGAGGGAGATATGAAAACGCGAAGCCCTGCTCCACGGAGTACCCAATAGTATACCTAGAATGGAGTACCCCTCAAACTCATGGATTGGTCAAATAAAACACTTTATTAACATGGTGAACCATTCAGATGTACATACCTTTATTTATTTTGAGCGTGCCAACTCTCCGATTTTCCAAGTTCGATGCAGTCCACGAATAATTGACCACTCCAGAAAATACCATAACATACCTTAATGCTCTTCGTTTGTCACCCCAAAATTTTGCATAGGCATTGTTTTCAGTTTCTCTTGGGGCAATTTTAACTCCCAAGAGAAACTAAAGACAATGCTTATGCAAAAGTTAGGGGTGATAAACAAAGAGTATTATGGTATGTTATGGTATTTTCTGGAGTGGTCAATTGACTGCCATCTTGAGATTTAACATTAAGCCACTGACCACCCCACATGGAAGGCTTTTATTCTTGAGTTGAGAGTTTTCTTTTTCAAGAGGCCAAAAGAGTCACATTTTTCATTCTAGTTAAAGGGACTTTGCTAAGCTTACCTAGCTTTTTCCAGGTGTGTATTAGTGATGCGGGCTTCCTTATTTGTTAACACAATAACAACAAAAAAATTCAGCTAAAACGTCTTGAAATATACTTTATTAAATTTGATCTCACAATCGATTACAACAGGAAGAGGCAAAAAAAAAAAAACGTTTAAAAAGTACCCACCCGGAGCTTGATAAATCTTCTATGCTTGACATCTCAGCCGATCCTGGCCAAGCGGAGGATAATGGGTAAGCCTTCCGTTTGAAGTGGTCAGCGGTTTGTTGTAAAATTTTAAAGATGGCGGTCAGTAACAATCGGAGAGCTGGCAATCTCAAAATAAATAAAGGTATCTACATCTGAATGGTTCACCATGTTGATGAAGTGATTCATTGATCTTTATTTGACCAACACGTGTTTTTTAGGGGTAGTCCATTTTACGTACTCCATAGGGTACTCAATGGAGTAGGGCTCCGCCGGCTTTGTCATCTCCCCATGAAGGAATGCAGAATTGAATTCGAGATTGGTTGCGGCAAAGACTAACGGATGCATTTTGAAATAATCTGATTCATTAATGCAATCTTGGAGGTATGCTTGACCCGCCTTGACTGTAATTTAGGTGCATTTTAATTAAGTGATTTTTCTATATTCGCTAAATTTAAGTGTCGCCAAAATTTCACGTGATGAGGTACATTTGAGACCAAGATGGCCGCCCCTAACGCAAAGCGCTCGATCTTGACGGTCTTACGGAAAAATAGGGGACTGTGAACAGTCTACCTTCCCCTGGCCTAAACGCAACAGAAAACTTCGTTCAGCTCTTTCAGTGACACCACAGCCGTCGTTTACCCCTTTGCGTGTACTTTTCTATCCACCAGGAACACTTTGTCGCAACAGAAAATGCCGAATTCCACAGAGAACCAACTGGCAGAAATGTTAAGAGAGTTTCAATCAAGAAGCAAAACCAAAGCTATTCTGTTATTAGGTGGATTCGTGCTGATTCTGTTGTTTTTCTTTGTTGGAAACTCTCTAACGCTCCTTGTTATGTTATTAAACCAGCGGATGAGAACAATTCCAAACATGTTCGTAGCATCACTCGCTGTTTCTGACCTATTATTAGGCCTTTGCAGTTCAGTGCCTTTTGGCATTCCAGCATTAGTGACTTCCCATTGGCTGTTTAACGATACAGCTTGCCAATTTCAAGGTTACGTATCTATCATGTTGGTTCTCGCTTCAATTCACACATGAACAGATATTGTAGAATTGTCAAACCAGCAAAGTACCGATGCTACTTCACAAGTAAGAAAACCCTCATCATGATTCTCGTGTCATGGTTCTCTTCTTTTTGTGCTCCATTGACTCAAGTCCTAAGTGGAAGAAAAATGGTCTTTCATCCTGCCAAGTTCTTCTGTTACCTTGGGATGGAAAAAAGCGCATTCATACATTATGGTAGTCCGCTTTACATAGGTGTCCCAACCTGTGTTATTATCTACTGCTACTTAAGAATCTTCTCAACAGGTCGCAATCACAACAGAAATGTTCATCTTCCAGGCAATCCGATAAGCTCGGTAAACGTAGAAGAAGTTAAAGTGGCTCGCACCATATTTGTTGTAGTGGTGTTTTTTAATCTTTGTTGGATTCCAGTTTTAACAGTTAACGTTTTGGACTATGCATTCCAAAGATGGATCTTCCCTACTGACGTTTACATTTTTTATACGCTTTTGGCCACTTTAAGCAGCGCGGTGAATCCTTTAATTTACGGCGTGATGAACAAGAGTTTTCGTACGAATTATTTAAAGCTACTATGCTGCACGTACTGTCGATCTCAAGTTGTTGTAGGACCGTTGGTTCGTTGAGGACAAGCGAAACAAATATACAGTTAGAAGTGAATTTCTTAATAATTTAGGTTGTGTCTGACATTTCAAAGCTGAAAAAACGTATCTTCTCTCTTAAGCATTGGCTTTCAAATCACCACCGGGTCGAGTATATAGCCTCACGCTCACAGGCAATCAATAGTTGACTCACGGTAAATCTGGGAACAAATCAGGTAATTAGGGATCGACGATAACAGAACTTGAACACGAGATGTCAGAATTTATGTCCAGCACTCTTACCTCTTAACCTTTTGACGTTGGCCATTCATTACCCATAAGATACTGTTAAACGAGCTGTACGATCATAAGTTTAATCATACCAAAAAGACCTAACTACGCGCTTCTGCATCAGGGAGTGGCTCGAGTGTGCCTAATAATGAAGCCTATTCTGCATAAATCGGGTAGACCTTTGTTCAGCCATGCTGCTTGTTGCTAGGATCAGTTTCAAACGTAGGCTTACTGTCGGGCGCGTGGTACAGCTTGCTCAGTTGTGACCATTGGTTGGATGAACGGAAGCTCACACTCGGAAAACCAGTTCCAGAAATTCGGGCGTCAGGGACTTCAAATGCTTGACACTATTTAAGCAGAGCCTCCTCAAGTTTTGCCCTCTCACTCAAGAAGACAACAGGAAGTTTTGTAGGCAGGTTGACCAGAGGATTAATAATAAGCCATCATACCCCAAATGCGGATTTTGCTGCTAAATAATACATTTCAAAAGTAGGTTGAGTTTGATCGTCCAGGTGAACGTAGTCCTGAATAGGACTGTTGTTGTTGACAGTGACTGAAGTTTCTACAACCTGTGCGGTAGTCATCTTCGGAGTCAAAGTGAGTTGTATCACGTCAGTTGATGGTATTATACTCTGGTTATTGATCTGATTGGTCAATTACGTCGCGATGTTATTGGTCGTCTGTCAGTTAAGCCGTGATGTTATTGGCTATGAACACTAGTAATCAGTAATTGTTGTATTTCGATCCGTCTATTGTCACAGTTAAACAGTCGTCTATTGTTAGTCAAATTGTCAGTTCTCCAGTAGTTCTCTCGTAGTTAGTTTTGCTTAATCTCGTCAATAAGTCGTTTGTTCGGAGCTGGTAATTGTTGGCTACGATTCAGTGGCGTTTATTCTAAGTTATTAAACCAGCTTTCTAAAGTAAGACGTTGATAGTAGTCTGTAGAATACGTGTTTGCTGCCTCGATCCGCACAATGTCCTTGACGGCGTGAACAGGTTCTACAGAAACGTAAAACTAGCAAATTACCGCCGCTAAATTTATTACCAAGAAGAAAACTCCATCGGTGTTTCTTGTGTTTTCATTCTAGTCATTGCCATATTTTCTGGCTGGGAGCAGAATGGTTCAGTCATTATCCAATCAAAAACAGTGCTTGCATTCATGACCTATAGGGTCAAACATTTTATATCGTGTTTCCAACTGCACCATCTTCTATTGCCATCCTAGAATCTTAGAAACCGTTCGTAGTCCTAATAACAATATGTATCTCTTTCTTGAAAGGAAGTTGGCGCACTGTTTTCGTCATAGTGGTGTTTTTAGCGTGGATCAGCCTCCTGAAGTTTCCATATATGGCATATACGTTTTTGATCACTTTAGGCAGCGCCTTGAATCGTCTGATACGACCTGATAAAAGGAGAGTTTTCGTAAGAATTATTTGAAGGTGCAACGCTGCACGTAGTGAGCACTAGGTATATATTAACCAATAATTAACAAATATTGAATGAGGCTGTGTCATCTGAAGAATTATGGAGATCAAGGGGGTGCATCCGCCGAGGACGTACGCCTAAGCTCGCCTAGGCGGATGACACTCTCTGAGATCTCCGTTATTCTTCAGATGATACGAAAGCCGAATTTAATAATTGTTGTATTATTAATTCAAAATAATGCCTAGTTTAAAACCAAGCTGAAACATGCTTATCTCCATCGATGTAAAGTTCATCTTCGATAGAGCATTTTTAAAAGCAAGTTTAGGAGATAAAGGATTGTTTAGGTCTGCAAATATTCTCCAAATAGCAGATGTCGTCCATTGAGTTGTCTTCTTGCTGTTCTAGCCATGTTTTTAGCTAATAGTTCGCCTACTTCCAACGAGTGAAATGTTCCGCCATTTTGTAGTCACTACCAAAACAACTCAACCTCTTCCCCAGGTCTTCTACAATCCTCGTCACAAATCTTGAAACACTTGTGTGATTTCTCCCTCACCAATGTTGATTTGGGTTTGCAGTCATTTCAGTGCTCCAAAATACGCTCGGCTCAACATTGGGGAAGGAGAGTGGCACATTTGGGTGCGAACAAAGGTGTGAAGAGTGAATGTAAGAAATTTGGAGAAAATTCAAGGCAAATGGCTCCTGTTTCAGCGATTTGTGACGAGTATTGGAGGTTGAAGGTTCAATTATCTGGCAATTTTGCTGCACGATTGACGTCCTTTTTCACATATGGCAAAATGCTTCCAAGGTCGACAATAGTTGGTTATGACGAATTATGCTTGGGATTTTTTTTCCCTTTCCTCTCCCCTCTAAACAATACCATGAATGCTGTGCCACTGTCAAACTAACTGTAAGAAACAACAAGTAATCAACTTTTGATGTATTACAAAGTTCAGCGAGGGGTCCGAATTGATTGTTTTCGAAATATTCCTTAATTGACGACAGCGTCTCAATAATTTTGTCGCCGGTTGTAGTTGAACGTTTTACGCTCGACACTTTGCTTGAAATTAAAGTCGTAAAAGAGAAATCTCTAGGTAGCCCAGCTAAAACTCAAAGGCATGCTTAACGAGCTAATTGGGTATGAACAGAACGGCTGCACAAAACAGAGCTGATTGGACAGGCTGAATTATGATAACCTTATGCGCCTTCAGCTGGCGCATAGAAAGATGATATGTTTGTCAAAATACGTCAACTTGCGATTGACAACTGATTAGCTCGATCAGTTTTAATAAAATTCCGGCTTAATTAGTTTTGCCCTATTTAGCCGATGCTTCTCTAATAGTGAGCTGGACTCTGTCACGAACAAGCTGTTGTTTAGAAAAACCTGAAAGGAAAGAAATAAAGCAGGTAAATGAAATTTGCTTTTTTCATTTTTACTTTGTTCACAATACAGGTGCAAATTTTATATCGTGCACAAACGGGAACAACACGAACACGACACAGTCAGAATTTTACTCCACACACTCTTATTATTCTATCATTTGTAATGGCAGTTTTATTTATCAAAAACATTTCTTTAAAAGTTTATTTGTCAAAATGGGAACCATATATGATCATAATGTACTGAAATGATGTCTTCAAATTGTGAGGGATTGTGTGCTTATAAATTGGTACCTTCAGAAACATTTTCATTATAATTTGCAAACGTTCTCTGCAGACTACAGAAAACCGCTTCGTTTTTTCCTGTTAACTAATAAGGCCCGGTTCAGACGCCGAACTTTTCATGAGCCGAACCTAATACATTGAATTAAGTACATGAAAAGTTCGGCCTCTGAATCAATTAGGAACGCCTGTTTGAAAATGGAACGGCTCAGCCGTTCTTTTCGCCTGACCCGGCCGGGAATTTAACCCTTTGGAGCGACTTTGGAACGGCTTTGATTTAGACGCCGAACTTTTCATGTACCGAACCTAATGCCTAAATTACTATTAACGTATTTTGTAAGTAGTTTGACCGAAATGAGCCTTTTTCTTGTTTTGAATTTAGGCAATTTGAATTCATTAAAACGAATGCTAGCTGTTTGGCTGGAATTATTAAGATCGGCATCTGAATCAATTCAGCCGGTCTAAATAATTTGGGTCGGCCTTAATTCGAATTAGGTTCGGCTCATGAAAAGTTCGTCGTCTGAACCGGGCCTAACAGTATCAAAAGAATTTTGGTGGGTTGTAAATTTGCTTTCGGGAACTTCAAACCTTCGTGATTGGAAATTTAATATTTTTAACTGTTTACATTTTTTGACTGGCCCTCTTTAGTACAGGTTTTACGATGAAGAATGAAAAGGAAACGAAAACCATTGAGAAGTATTTTCGTTACAGCCAAATTTAAACGAAAAACGTGCATTCTTTAACATTTTTTGTTCATTTTCTTGCAAACTTTTAAGGTTATGCATAAGACCGGTAATAGACTTAAAATATATATCACGCTCGTTTCTGCCAAACAGCTAGCATTCATTTTAATGAATTCAAATTTTTTAAAAAAACGTATAACTTCTACCACTAAATTTCCGAAACTGTTTTCTTGACCAGAATAAACCAACCCAAAGTATGAGTTTAAGTGTCAACGAATCTTACGTTTTTAGTTTAAAAAATCGTCTAACAAACTAGCTTGTTTCGGTTCCTGACCAGTGGCAAAGGAAACTGACTGATCGGTTTTTTAGCCAACGGTAAACAAAATATATTAAGCAATTTCTTCCAAATGAAAATTGACTTTGTAACTATGAGAGCTTCAGTGTAAACTTAGCAGTCTGTGCAGGTTTTCCCTCTTTGCATTTAATAGCTAAGGAAATATCACCCTTCTGAAAATGCGAAATTTTGGGGTGACGAAGGGTTATTCAAAGTCTGTATTCTCCTAAACAAGTTGGAGTTTTTAACATTACATATTTTAAACTTATTTTGTATTTTGGCTTTACAGTTTTGGACGAGGTAAATGTGCTATGCCCTTTCAATATTCAGTGGCATTTTCAATTTTACAACTTGATTGGTGAATAGGAAGCGAAAGCTAATGAGAAGAAAACTGTAAACAATGATTAACCTGGAGAAACGTGTCTTCGCAACTACCCTCGTTTTGAAAAAAGAGGCTTGGGGTGACTCAGAAATGGCTTCTTTAGTTCGAGACTGACTGGGTTTAACCTTTGCAGACTTTGCAATAATCACTCCTAAAGATTTACAGAAATATAATCAAAGTGGCTGTGAGCCAAGAAACTCGTAAACAATTATGTTGTTAGTAAAATCTTAAGAAATGTCACTGGTTCTCATTGGTTAGTCGGATAATGTTAATGTTACCTTTTTACCAGATATTTCAAATTTAACGCTCATAAAGAAATAATATTCAAATTTTTTCTTCACCATTTTTCTTGCTTACGTCTATGTTATCACTTTGACGTAATAATTTTAATTTTTAAAAATCTTAAAGGGATATAGTATCAACAGTGGTTGTTTTATGTCCTCAATGCTCAATGTAATATTTTTACGAAATACTTTGCTTGTTATTCTACTGTATTATTTGTATAGGTAATAGCATGATTAGTAGTGATATTTGGCATAAATACCACGAGTGATATTTCAAAATTGTTATACGCAATTAAACTTGACACAATTTTGAATATCACTCGTGATATTTATGCCAAATATCACGTACAAATCATGCTACTATTTGTTTATACTACTACGCGCAAAAGGTTGTAATTTTCACAAGTAGGCATTTCAAATTAAGCTGAAATACTACTGCTCTAAGCCAACCAAATTGCAGAAATTTCTCATGTAGTAGTATAAACTCTGTACTTCCACCCACTTGTAACCGCTCTGTGGTAGTAGCCAACTCGAAGGCTTGGTTCCTTTGGCTGCTACACACTTTTTTCCTTTGTTATGTTTAATTCGTTTAACCCTTTGTGTATATATTTTTCTATCTACCAGGAACTGTGTCACGCCACAAAAATGAACTACACGGTAGAGAACCAACTGGCAGAAATGTTAAAAGAGTTTCAATCAAGAAGCAAAGCCAAAGCTATTCCAATATTGGGTGGATACCTTCTCATTTTGTTATTTTTGTTTGTTGGAAACTGTTTAACACTCCTTGTTATGTTGTTAAATCCACGGATGAGGACAATTCCAAACATGTTCGTAGCATCACTCGCTGTTTCTGACTTATTATTAGGCCTTTGCAGTTCAGTGCCTTTTGGCGTTCCAGCGTTAGTGACTTCCCATTGGCTGTTTAACGATACAGCTTGCCAATTTCAAGGTTACGTATCTATCATATTGGTTCTCGCTTCAATTCACACATTGGTCTTAATGGCAGTAAACAGATATTATAAAATCGTCAAACCAGCAAAGTACCGACGATACTTCACAAAGATCATGATTCTCGTGTCATGGTTCTCTTCTTTTTGTGCTCTATTGCCTTTCGTGCTAAGTGGGGGAAAAATGGTCTTTCATCCTGCCAAGTTCTTCTGTTACTTTGGCATGGAAAATACATACATGTATTATGGTAGTCCGCTTTACATAGGTGTCCCAACCTGTGTTATTATTTACTGCTACTTGAGAATCTTCTCAACAGTTCGCAATCACAACAGAAATGTTCATCTTCCAGGCAATCCGATAAGTTCTGTAAACGTAGAAGAAGTTAAAGTGGCTCGCACCATATTTGTTGTAGTGGTGTTTTTTAATCTTTGTTGGATTCCAGTCTTAACAGTTAACGTTTTGGACGATGTATTCCAAAGATGGATCTTCCCTACTGACGTTTACATTTTTTATACGCTTTTGGCCACTTTAAGCAGCGCGGTGAATCCTTTAATTTACGGCGTGATGAACAAGAGTTTTCGTACGAATTATTTGAAGGTGCTACGCTGCACGTACTGCCGATCTCAAGTTGTCGTAAGACCGTTGGTTTTGGGAGGACAAGCGAGTACGATGACTTCCGCCCAAACGGACGGCATTGGCGTTAAAATCACCACCGGGTCGAGTATATGACGCCACGCTCACCGGCAATCAATAGTTGACTTACGGTAAATACGGAAACAATCGGAAACAAATAGGTACGATGACAAGACTTGAAAACGGGATCTCAGAATTTATGTCCAACACTCTTACCTCTTAACGTTTTGACGTTGGCCATTCATTACCTATAAGACATTTTCAAACGAGCTATGCGATCATAAGTCTAATTCTAATGAAAAGACCTGACTACGCGCATCTGCATCAGGGAGTGGTTCGAGTGCGCCTAATAATGAAGCCTATTCGCATCGTCTATTGAGGTATAGTTAATCGTGGAGGCCGGCATCTTGAGAAATGCAAAGGTTAATAGAATCACCATGGGGAAAAAAGATAGTTGGTGAATTAGGAGAAATTTCCCTAACGGACAAATGCGTAAAAAGTTGTTCTTTACTCTTATGACAGTTTATCATTCACGGCTGCAGGGTTAGTTGAGTGGCATATGAGGTTCGTATTGCAAATCATGGAGAGCTTGTGCAGCATTACATAATCAAGACAAAACCCATGTTCAAATCCATTTCAAAGATAATCTTTCAACTTGGTCGGATAGCAATTTAGGTATAAAAAAAACTGTAAAATGTTTACTTTGACTGATGTAGTTAGTTGTACTGGAATGGACAGAGTGTTAGGTGTGGCGGCAATTAGCTTCCCCGATTTGCATTTAGAGGCCTGGTGACTGCCTCCTCGTGTAAAGCAGGCGTGTTTGAAATTGCACCTAAAACATTGTATGCCTCGGAGACATTTCCAGCAGATTCCTTAAGGAATGGCTGGTTAAAAGAGTTAGACGGATTGCTGGGGATGAACTCTTGATCATGTGGTGCGCCTGCAACCGCAATTCCCAAAGCATATTCTTGCATTTCATCCATTCCGTTTTAGCCAGAAATTAAGCTATTTTGTCTTTGGATAGCCATCATCATCTGTGGCTATCCAGATGATAGCCATGAAGGCCAATTTGGCTATAAGGAAATTAGGTGGAAGTGGGGTGAAAGTGGGGGAGCTGGGAGCCAATCAGAAACGGCGAAGTATTTCTAATAGTTATAATAGTAAGACATTTACCATCTGGTAAATGCAGATAAGGGAACATGTCAGTCGCTTAGTTGTATCTTGAAAGTCTGATTCGTTAAATAAAAGCACTCTATTCTGTAGGCTGAAAACAAAGCTTTTCATGGCTGGAACCTTACTAATTTGTCGCATATTTGTCATCGTATATTTCTTAGCTTCGCAAAGATTGGTCACTGTTTTCAAGGCCCTATTCATGGCTAGACCTTAATCATGATAAGTTTAGGTAGCTTATAATACAACTGTGTCTATTCGTCAAACTTTGAGACATTGTCTGACTAGAAAGTTCTGCTTATGCCAATCCTGGTCATTCTTTGGCTACTTACTTAGGCTTACTTAGGTCACGAATTATCCCGAGCCGTCCTAATAAAATCTTTCCACACGATCTGATTGAGCATTGCGTCTCTTATCTCTTTGGTATTGTCCAGTCCAGTATCAGCCTTGATAGTATCAATGTATGTAGTTCTAGGTCTACCCCGATTTGGGTGACCCTTTTGGGGTTCCAAAAGCAGCACTTTTGAAGCAGTCTCTTCATTGCGGCTAGTAAAATGGCCAGCTAATCGTAATCTTCTCGCACGGATTGTTTCACTAATTCTTAAGGGGGTTCCCGTACAGCTCCTAGCTGTTCCTATGTTGTTGCCAGTACACATGCAGGGCCGTTCGCAGCATTCTGGTGTAACATCCATTGACACTTTTCTCCAGCTTCTACGTCACGGTCCACGTTTCACTTCCATAGAGTAAGACAGACTCCACAGTTACTCTAAACAGTCTGATCTTTGTTACTGTGGCAGCTTTGAGGTCCACACTTTTCTCATTGTGTTACAAGCTATCCAAGCTGAAGCCTTTCTGACCCTGAGTCACTGATCCATTAACCCAGATACTTGAAGTTCTCAACTCAACAGGTTCAATTATTTCGTCTCGTGTTTTGAGCCCAGGATCAACATGATGGTTAGAGAACATGTATTTTGTCTTCTTTGCATTTGGTAGAAGACCAGCCTGGGCGGACGCTTCCTCAACATTTCTGAGTACGTCTTGCGCTTGCTGGAACTGATGATCACTGAAAAGGGCAATGTCGTCTGCAAAGTTGGCTAGCTTGCACGAAAGGAAACAGTTTAAGTAATTTTGTTAATTTTGCCTCAACCACGTTCTCAGCCCGTGACGTATGCATCGCGTTCTAGTACCGACCTTTCAAAGCTCTCCAGTGAAGTACTCCGACTTCGCTTACACCAACTGAATCTTCCTGTCATGGGAAGCCACGCTCGCCTGGTCGGTGATCCAGGACTCTGTTCCTTCGACTGTTTAATCAGCATTTCAATCGCTCCCACAGCGACGTTATTCCGCCTACTTTCGCGGTTACCAGCACTCCAAGTCCTCGTGTCTCTTCTGTATCATCTCTGAACGGAGATTATTTGCCTCAATTATTTGTCTCAGCAGCCTTCGGCTTTGGCAAATATATAGTTGATCTGCAAGTAACTGTCTCACAACACTTTCTTGTGAATAATTTTTTGCCAAAACTGCAAAACCTTTAAGAGAGACTCAATAGTGCGCCGAATTTGGATGTCCTCTGTCTTCCGCTCCCCCTAGACTGTTCACAGTCCCTGTTTTTTCTTTAAGATAGTCGAGATCAAGTGCTTTGCGTTATAGGCGGCCACCTTGATTTTGCATGTACCGAGTGGACGGGCGTGAGTTTACAACTATCCCCTGCCCCCTAAGTACATTTGAAAAACATCCCGGCTAGGCTTTACTTGGTACATTTTAAAACCAAGACGGTCGCCTGTAACGCAAAGCGCTCGCTCTCGACGGTCTTACGGAAAAAAATGGGGAACTGAGAAAAGTCTTCCTCCTCTCGACCTAAGCGTTACAAAAACCTCAACTCTTTCAGTAACTCCACAGACCTCGTTTACCCCTTGCGTATATTTTTTCTATCCATTAGGAAAGGGTCGGCACAACAAACAATGGATTCCACAGAGAGCCAACTGGCAGAATTGTTATGAGAGAAAAAGCCAAGTCAAGGCCATTCTGTTATTAGAAGGATACGTCCTTATTTTGTTCCTTTTGATTGTTGGAAACTGCCTTACACTTCTGGTGAAGTTGTTAAACAGACGAAGGCGAAAAGTTCCCCACATGCTTGTCGCATCACTCGCTGTTTCCGACTTATTAATAGGACCTTTTTCTTCAGTCCCTTTTTCTGTTTCAGCGTTAGTGACTTCCCATTGGACGTTTAACAATTACACAGCCTCCAAATGTGATGGTTACATGATTGAGATGTTGGCTTGCCGCGCCTCAAACTCACATGCACGTTGGTCTTAACGTTGGTCTTGGACAAATAAAATATAGATTTAGCCAGAGCTAAAAGCGAAGCTTCCGTTTATATACTTCTAATAAAAGCAAGAACAAAAACGAAATTAATTAAAATTAATACGAAGGTTTGCATGATAGAGCTAATCACTCCTGTAGCAAGCTCCTGCAGCTAACTGAGGGTGTTAGTATCCACATATCAAGTAATCGGTTGAGCCCCAAAGAAAGGACGCTGACCATTAAATACTTGCAAAAAGGAGTGCCACCATCTTAGATCAGCAAAAAAATTCAAGGAGAGTCTTGCTAGCTTTTGCAGTGGAACACTAAAGTAATTTCATCGTCTGTAAAATGCGTTGAAGAAAGGTCCATCCCAAGTAGACCCCAATTATTGTAAACAGATCTAGACTTACAAAGCGAAACTTCTCGATTATTCAAAACTACAATTAAGGACACCTGTATGTAAAGGAAATCGTCAAGGAACACTGCCGGCCAGCCCACGGGACATCGTTAAATTATAGCAAAAAAGAGTGAAAAATTATTGCTCGTTTCTGCTAGTAGAGTTTTCTTTCCGGAATGGTTTTTAGTATTTACGATGTCGTTTGCGTCCCTTGTATTCGCGTAGGTTGCAATGAGGGTATGATGGTTTTCTTTCTCTAGAAAGACACAAGTCGTGATGATTTGTAAGTCTTTATAACTACAATTTTTTTGATACTTTGAAATATTAAATGAGTTTTACAAAATACACCAGGAGAGACTAAAAAAATAGAAAATGCAACAATGTAGGCGGTTAGGATGGAAATCAATTCATATCTCAACAAATGGCTATTACACAATATTAATGTGCATGCGTTCGCATTCATTGCCTAACAGTATTTTATTTATTTATTTTTTTTTGCGGTTTCATTTCCTAATAGCAAATTACTTTTTCAGCGTTAAAAGCCAGTATGGACAAGATCAGGTTTTAGTCTCCACGTCTGGATTAAAACTGAACGGACAGCTCGTAATATATCACCCAAAATAGAGCAACTTACTGAGGATGAAATTCAGGTTTATATGGATTGAAAATGGATCTCGACAGATTTTCAATTTTCCATTTTTTTTTTCTGAAAAAGAACTTGGAGTTGCTAAATACAGTTCTTAAATTTGACATGATAATCTAGAAATTAAAATGACCATCTTAAGAAACTGCTATTTATTCCTGTACTTTCACTAGAATAAAATTTTATGACTATGAACTTCGCATTTCGGCTAAAAACACACACAACTTTGGTATAGTTTATTCTTGCGTCACTAATAGAAGTCAAGGCTACTCCCTACGTTAGCTTTAATAAGAAAATAAATTGAATTTAGTCTTGGTAACTGAGCGTTCGTTTGGAATGAATTTGTTATCACTATAATAAATAGCAACATTCTTAAGTTAGGTATTTATCGGGCCTATATTGAACGACATACAACCATTCAAAAACCCTAAAATCTTCCAAGAAATATATAGACGTCCAGACGATGTGTCCGGCAATCCATACATCCCTTACAAATTTCCAAGTTTCATAAACTGCTATACCTCGTTCAATATAAGCCCGATCGACAACAAACTTAAATAATAACTTTATTAATCTCCTTAAAAAGGCTTTTCAGCTTAATTTACAATGTCAAATATCTAAAACTTAGTTTTCCAAAAATACCCTTAAAAAATGCTGTTTTATTTTAACCTTAAATACATCTAAATTAGTGATAGACTGAAACTCGTCTGGGAGACTATTCCACAGCCTTTGGCCTCTGAAGGTAAACGCGCGCTGACCTGCAGCCGTCCTACAGAGTGGTATATGTAGGCGGTCCCTATTCCTAGTGTTGCAGTTGTGCACTGCCGATCTGGTTTTAAACTTCTGACAAAGATATGGAGGTGCAAGTCCATTTAAGCATTTAAATACCATGGTAGCATCCCTAACCTCAAGTTGTTTAACAATTGGCAGCCACTGTAACTGCTTAAGAATAGGTGTAACATGATCAAATTTCCTCGTTCCAGAAACTATCCGGGCTGCAAAATTTTGCACTGTCTGTAATAGCTCGATGTTTTTCTTGGTGGTATTAGCCCATACTGATGAACAGTACAATAATTTACTGAATACGAGAGAATTAATTATAGTAATCAACGTACGCCTATCAAACAGGTATTTTACGCGATTTATTTGACAAAGGCTACCTATACATTTCGAAGTTAATTGAGTTATATGTTCGTCGTACGTTAAATTACAGTCCATTGTAACCCCCAGGTTTTTCGCAGACTTAGATGATGTAATCTCCTTGCTGAGTAGTGTAATGCTTAGATCATCTGGTATCTTCATCAGCAACTGCGGAGTCCCCAGAACCAGAAGTTTTGTTTTTTCCGGGTTAATGAGTAGACTGTTTTTACAACACCATGTGGCTATGTTCCTAAGATCTTCTGTCAGCTGAGCTGCGGCTAAGGTGGCATCACGTACAGGAAATGAGAGGTATAACTGTGAGTCATCAACATAGCACTCTAACGACCCTACCTTAGGTACAGATGGTAGATCGTTGATGTAGATATTAAACAATGCGGGGCCCAAAATTGATCCTTGTGGTACACCATACGAGACTAGGCGGGGTTCAGATGTTTCGCAACCGATTCTCACCGACTGTTTTCTTCCGGTCAAGTAGCTTCTAAACCATTCTATTGCTTCTTTAGAGGTACCCATTGTACGTAGCTTCTTTAACAAGGACATGTGATCAATGCTGTCAAATGCCTTGGAAAGATCTAATAACACCAAGGCAGTGACTTGCTTGCGGTCCATTGCCTCCAAGGCTAGATCTGACATCAAAATATTGAGTGTCTCTGTCGAATGTCGTTTCTTATTCCCACTCTGGTGTCCACTGAGACAGTTTCTCCTTATTGCATATTCGGTGAATTGATTTAAGGCTACTCGTTCACATATCTTAGATAGGGCAGGTAACAACGACACAGGTCTATTCCCGTTGGCTACTTCCGGATCTCCACCATCCTTTAGAATTGGAACAATTTCAGATTCTTTCCATGGTGAGGGAAATACAGATGTCAAAAGTGAACTGTTTATGATCTCTGTCAAAATCGGGAGGATGGCCGGTAGAGCATCTTTCACCACTGCCATGTGTAATTTATCTTTCCCTGGTGCTTTATTTGAAGGAAATGACTGTACAATCCTATTGATCTCGAAAGAGGTAGCAGCCCGAAATCGAAACTCATCTTCTTCAGGTACAAAACTATAAAAAAGTACATTAAAAATATTAAACGTTTTTACAACAAAAGGAAGAAAGAACTTGCAAGCGATTAATAAAAATCACTTTGTTACCAATAAAGCCGATAAATAAGACCTTTTTAACCTGTATGTTTTGTTTCCTCATCTCAGACCATGTGTTGTTTCCCCACAGAAGAGTTTCTTTAAAATGTTTTCCTATCCAGGTGCATATGTACTGCATAATTTTGGGAAAGACTGCAGGTAAAATACCTTGAGATTAGGGTAAAAAACATAAATAAAGCTCAAAAGGTATATGCAAGGCCGTTTATTAGAATTGCTGCCATTATCTTTAAATGGAAAGTTATTAGTTTCTTCCACTTAACAGACTGAAGGGCGATATGACAACAATATAGTAAGTATAACAGTTTAGGGTAACGTCAGTAAGGCTTCTGAAAAAACTATTAGTAACGTGGTAGATTCTGCACAAGGGAGCTGCTGTTTCAAAAATCCCTTAAATAGGTAACTTACACTTTTTCTTTTATTCCCCTTTTTTTATACCATATGTAGCGATATATCAACTGTATGTCACACCAGATCAAACGCGGTTTTGCAAAAAAAAAAAGAATAGAAAAATGTTGATAAATCACAGAAAATACCACTCATCCAAAAGCTTTCAATTCGTTCAGATCGCTATAAGTACATGTCAATGACAAAGAAGAATACATCTAACTAAAAAACAGAGTTTCCTTTACTGACGACTCTCCCACTGGTTAAAATTCTGAATTACGGAACGTCTATCGAGGAACTTGTCAGATATTTATTGACATTGAATTGACGTTATATCAGGATTCTAGTAAAAGAAAGGTTCTGTTGCCATGAAAAGCAACATGTTTTTGAAAAACGCCCGAAAAGGATGGGAGACAATTGAGATCCGGTTGAGAACAGACAATTGCCTCGAAATAGCCAACATCTATGACGCTATTTTAGCCCTTTCAAGACCCTAATGAACGTTATCTACTCCATTTTGATGAAGTCAGTTGAAGTGGATGAAATATTGCACTTTTGAACTTTTTCATGGTGTCTCAATCAGACAGAAAATTATCATTTTATTTCTTACTTAAATTGTAAATATTGTTCTGCCTGACGTTTGAGGCAGAATGCACTTCACTTGTGGCAGAAACACCTGCCCCTAGTTGATTCAAACTAAGAATTAAATGCTGAGCTCGCGGATCGGTTATAGTTATTGGGAGTTGACAATAGTCAATCTCTGAGCTCAATTTTACTATGAAGTATTACGTTCAGTCTTCAAGTTTTACTTGCTTATGTGAAGACTAAAAGAACCACAGGAAACTGAGCTTCGCTTTTCCTTTTCAGATTCCTCTTTGAGCACTATTTACCCATATATTAACTGTGGTTAATTTGGGTCCTCAATGTAATATTCGGACGAAATATTTTGCTCTTTAATCTTCTGCAAAGGCTGTAGTCATACAAAAAACACAGGTAAATCATTGATTTCTTATAGAAATACACTGTACTTGTAAAATAGTGGTATTTTTACGTTTATTTAGACACGTCAGGATTTTTTCAGCGGCAGAAGTCATGGAAATCACTGTTAAGTAGTTTTCATAATTAGCCGGTTTTCCTTGACGATTTAATTTTTCGTTTAAAGAGAAATTCAATAGTGCGCAGAGGTTGGCCTTCCCCATGTGTTCCCTTTCCGACCTTTCCCCATTGGACCGAATACCCCACCTTTTTCAATGACTTCGATGATCTCGTTTGAACCTTTGCGTATATTTTTCTATCTACCAGGAACTGTTTGATGCTACAAAAAAAAATGAACTACACGGCACAGAACCAACTGTCAGCAATGTTAAGAGAGTTTCAATCAAGAAGCCAAGCCAAAGCTGTTTTGGTATTAGGTTTATACGTGCTTATTTTGTTGCTTTTGTTTCTTGGGAACAGTCTTACACTCCTTGCTATGTTTATAAACCGACGGATGAAAACAACTCCAAACATGTTCGTAGCATCACTCGCTGTTTCTGACTTATCTATAGGACTTTTCTGTTCAGTACCGTTTTGCATTCCAGTATTGGTGACTTCCCAATGGCCGTTTAATGACGCAGCCTGCCAATTTCAAGGTTATCTGCTTATTACATTGGTCTGTGCTTCGATTCACACATTGGTCTTAATGGCAGTGAACAGATTTTATAGAATCGTCAAACCGGCGAAGTACCGACGCTACTTCACTAAAAAGAAAACCCTGATCATGATTCTCGTGTCATGGTTCTCTTCTTTATGTGCTCCATTACCTCTCGTGCTAAGTGGAAGCAAAATGGTCTTTCATCCTTTTAAGTTCATCTGTTACTTTGCCATTAGAAAAATAATATATATTGGTAATCTGCTTTACATAGGTATTCCAAACTGTATTATTATATACTGCTATTTTAGAATCTTCACAACAGTTCGCACCCACAACCGAAATTTTCATCTCCCTGGGAATCCAATAAGTTCGGTAAACGTAGAAGAAGTTAAGGTGGCGCGCACCATATTCGTTATAGTGGTGTTTTTTAACCTGTGTTGGATTCCAGTCTTGGCAGTTGAAGTTGTGGACAATATTTTTCAAAAATGGATCTTCCCATCTGAGGTTTACATTTCATATACGCTTTTGGCCACTTTAAGCAGCGCTGTGAATCCTGTAATTTACGGCTTGATGAATAAGAGTTTTCGTACGAATTATTGGAGGGTTCTTCGCTGCAAGTGCTGCCGATCTCAAGTTGTCGTGGCACCGTTGGCCTTGCCTGGAAGGACGGCTGCTGTGGGCATGGAAATGAGACCACTGCATGATATACAGGCAAAAGCGAATTAAAGGTGTCACTGGTCGCTGCAGTCACGTACGCAGTTTTCGTCATATTAACGCCAATTGGCGTATAAACGTGTAAACAGCGACAAAAACCATATTCCACTGATCTATGCTAGTTAAACGCTTAGAGTTATGGACAGCCTCAAGACTGACTAGCGCCTGGTTGCATCCGGAAGATTTTACATTGAATTCAGTATATTTAGGATCACCTGGCAAGGACGATAGATTGATGTACAATGTATTCGTTTGCCCATAGTGTTTTGGATTGAATTTTATAGCAGGAACTCTATAAAACGTCTGTTGAGGACAGTCGCCTTTCAAGAACCATATACACTGTACTAGTAATGTAAATAAGTTTCGTTTTAATTTCTTGTATATTGTACGGCGATATTAGCCTTTTTGGCTACCCTACAGTTGGTGTGGAAATAAAGTTTGTTTATGTAACTGTGTTCAGTTATGTATGCATGTATGTACCCAAGCCTCAAATACCCTGGTTATTTTTGTAGTTTTTGTCCAAAAACGTTTCTTTTATCTCAGTGATGACATCGAATCGCGAATTTAAACAATAAAAAACAGGGCTTGTACCGTAACGCTAATTACGGTTCTTACGGTCGGACATTCCCTATTACCTGAAAAAAAAGATTATTTTTGAAGATTTTTCGTACATTCCATTCCACTTAAGATGAAAGAAACGTCTTTTCAGTCATCCAAAAAATATTTCGGAAGGCCTAAAGAGAGCGTTAATTCACTCAAGGTCACATTCTTCCAAAAGTAAGCATTTGCTCAGCTTGCAGTAAAAATAGAAAGAAAGAAAAGAGAAACTTTAAAGAAAAAGTGCGGAACAGTGTTCCACGTTCATTGTGAACAGTGTGACAAAGCGAAATTTCTCGTTCACTTATAACTACCATTTAGGACACCTGTGACGAAAATCGTCACTGAGATATTGATGAAAATTGCATGCCAGCTAACGGGACATCGATTCATTTTACCTTACCAAAAGTTTCTTCCCTTTTCTGCTCGTAAAAGTTTCTTTCCGAAATGGTTTTTGGGTATTTACTAAGTCGTTTGCGTCGCCTGGTATTCGCGTAGGTTACACAGGTTACCAATGATATTCTTGCTTCAGAAAGCCACTACAGCGCTGCCACTAGTCATGATGATTTGAGTCTCAACAACAACTAGTTTATTATCAAAAAAGATATTATACCAGCTCATTTCTCGATAACGCCATTCGTTCGCATTCATTGCTTCATTGTATTGTATGTATTAACTGTAAGAGTCGACTCGCTTTTTATCCGAGTCCGTCAGTTTCGTTTCGTGATAGAAAATCACGTTTTCAGTGCTAAAAGACAGTATGGGGACTCGTATTTTTTGTCATCTAGTTTGGATTATAAAAGGAACAACCTGTACTATATTATGCAAAATCAGGGGGAACTGAGGATAAAATGCAGTATTACATCGGGATTGAATACGGATTTCGACAAAGGCAATCAAGAAATTGAAATTACCTTCCTAAGAAACTGTAAATTTGTCGCCGACTTTTCCTTTAGTTCAGTTCTTTTATTTTGGTCTGCAACAGGCGTAAGATATAGTAAATACAAGGAGTGAAGCTTAGATAAGAGTCAGTCATAAGAAGAAGAAGATAAAAAAAAAGACATAAAATGATTATAATTTCATGACCATTAATCGTACTTTGGCTCTAAAGAAGGATCAATTCATTTCTCAGATATTAAAGTTAATAGGCCATGATTTGCAAGATGGCGTCATTTTACTACTACAGGCGACTCTTTCTTAACGGACACCTCTATAAGGCAAAAGCTCTTATTTGCAAAAGAAAGAAAAACCTTGAAAGATTCTGATCGTTGTAGTCAAACCACGTCGTCGTGCAAATCGCCTATTCTTTCACAATACAGGATCGCCTTGTCTTTTCTGGTTTCTTCGCTTCGGTATATTTCAGTTTTGCCTAACTATTACACGCCAGGTGCAGAAACCCTACATTCGCTTCCATAAGAACATTGACGACTTAGTCTTGGCAACTGTGCGTTTGGAATCGAATCTGCAAAGTGCAGATTTCCGCTGTTTATTATGCTGTTTTTACTCGCTGGAAACTTCATAACGCTCATGGTTATGCCGTTAAACCAAAGGACACGAACAATTTCAAACTTGTTCGCGGCATCTCTCGCTGTTTCAGACATATAAATAGGAGTTTCGGTGCAGGTTCTTCAGCCCTCCCTGCATTTTTGACGTCACATTTCCCCTTTAATGATACATTTTGCCAATTCGAATGGTATATTGGGACAGTCCTTGCCGTGGCTATCACATCATCTATTCTTTTGTTAATTAAACGGGCCTAACTTCATATCATTCCTTTCGAGTGTGGGCCTCTGTTGATCTCCTAATTCTCCTCCAAATCCAGCAAAGCTAGTTCGATCGATTATCTACATCGAGTCGGCCCGTTGAACCCGAAATTGCTGGTTTGCACGTGACGTCACGGCGGCCATGTTGGTGGTCAAGAACAAAAGCATTTCTCTCCTCTGGGAACTAAACTCTATTTTCATGTAAATTCTTCGAGGAAATATTCTTTTGTTTTAACCCCCAACATGGCCGCCTTGTCACGTGGTTGCAAACCAAGAATAATGCGAAATAGCTTTCAAATAGGCGCTTAAGGTGGCTCGACTGGATTTCTTTAGGGGGATACCTCCCAAGTTTGAGCCTTAACTACGTCGGCATGAGTAAAGATATGGAAAAACGATTACCACAACTGTATTATATAAAGATGAAAATTTCTTATGATCTGGGTTTTATAGCAATCGGAGTCTCCATGGCAACGTAATGACGCCATTACGTTTCTCATTTATTGTTGTGTTTCTCTGTACCAGGAGTTTTTTGAAGAAATCGCTTGAGGGCGTATGGACCTGCCATAATTGCCTCCATTATGGCAAAGATTGAAGAAATTCTATGAGAGCGTTTTCGAGATATTTTGAAATGCAGTTTTAAGAATCATAAAAACAATGAAATAGCATGCTAGCCGCACAATTCGCTAATATTGTAAGAAAATGATAAGCTTTAGGAACGCGGCTTCATCTCATAGTGGATTGATTCCATTGAAAACTGCATACAAAAAAAGAGGGGAATTGCTCTGGGCGATCGCGAGTAAGAAGGATTTTATTAACTTGCATTCAGCTGCTTTTGATACAGTTTTTGGAGGTAATTTGGTCCATGCCTAAAAATTTCGCATTTTTCAAAAAACCACTCGCAAAATTTTTTTATAAATTCGACAATTCCGAGATCAGTCGTCAAGAAATATTCCCTGCAAGTTTTAAGAACACTGAAAACAGGGAAGGCTTTTAAACAGGGCCTTAAATATAGCCAATTTTCCCCCCAGATTTTGTGTTTACAAGCGAGCGTCCTCATTATTCACTGGCATTGTTTTCAAGTTTCATATACACGTGCACATTTAGCAAAAAGACAGAATTTGCATCAAAAAGGACCCTCGGTTAAATCTCCGGGATATGCCAATTACCGGGTAAAGAGCCTAGTGCTACATTATAACATCAGAGCAACTCTTTAGCTCTTGAGTTTCTGTGATGTTATAACCCGAGTAAGATAATAAGTATTGCATCCTACACGATGAGCCGTGACGTTCACCGTTTCGGCTCTCAACTGCTATCTGTGACGACAAGCCAATTTTTAGCATATACCGGATATTTCTTTGGAAAGTAATCGAGAGTTCTTTTTTTATGCAAATTTATATCTTTCGCTAGTTGTGCACGTGCATATGAAACTTGAAAAAAATGCCAGTGAATAATGAGGACGCTCACTTGTAAACACAAAATCTGGGGGGAAAATTGGTTATGTTTGAGTCCCTATTTAAAAGCCTTCCCTGTTTTCAATGTTCTTGAAACTTGCAGGGAATATTTCTTGACGACTGATCTCGGAATTGTCGAATTTATAAAAAAATGTATCGAGCCGTTTTTGAAAAAATGCGAAATTTTCAGGCGTGGACCAAATTACCTCCAAAAACTGTATCAAAAGCAGCTGAATGCAAGTTAATAAAATTCTTCTTACTCGCGATCGCCCAGAGCAATTCCCCTCTTTTTTTGTATGCAGTTTTCAATGGAATCAAACCACTATGAAATGAAGCCGCGTTCCCAAAGCTTATCATTTTCTTAAAATATTAGCGAATTGAGCGGCTAGCATGCTATTTCACTGCTTTGATGATTCTTAAAACTGCATTTCGAAATATCTCGAAAACGCTCTCATAGAATTTCTTCAAACTTTGCCATAATGGAGGCAATTATGGCAGGTACATACTCCCTTAAGCGATTTCTTCAAAAAACTCCTGGTACAGAGAAACACAACAATAAATGAAAAAAGTAATGGCGTCATTACGTTGCCATGGCGACTCCGATTGCAATAAAACCCAGATCATAAGAAATTTTCATCTTTATATAATACAGTTGTGGTAATCGTTTTTCCATATCTTTACTCATGCCGACGTAGTTAATGCTCAAACTTGGGAGGTATCAACCCCAAAAAATGTATATTTGAATTCATGATAAATACAGCTCCACCAGCTTCAAACAGTGTCTATGGCAGAGAAAAATTGTTTTGATATGACCAAATTATTTTTCAAATCATGTGTGTCGCTGTGGCGCAGTGATCAAGTAGTTGCTTGAACGTGAAGATAAACCGGGCTCGACTCCCGGCGACATATATTTGGCTGCAATTTTTCCCGGGAAAAGGTTCTAGGTCTTCTAGCGCATGTAACGCCCTCACATTTTTTCAGTAGAATCTTTAGTTTACAATTCATATTTTTTTCAAAACAGCCGTTTTACGGAAATTATTCGACATTAGATTCTCAAACAAACACTGTAATTTCTCACGCGTTTGCC